TGCTCTACAGGAGAGTCTTCATGCGGTTGCTCAAGGTTAAGGATTTCTTCGAAATACTCTCTCCATCCTCCGAAGAATATTTTTATTCTTGGTGAGAGGGCGTCTAAACTTGTCTTTCAAGACCCTTAGATTACCCTTTTTCACTTCGGAGCCGGTGAATGATCTGCCAGAATATCTTGTTTGTAGTGTGGAATTTCGACTCCAACACGTCACCGAATTTCTCCCAGGAATCAGCGTAGAAGGCTTTCGCCGTCATATTGCGAGCTTCCGCATATTGCGTGCTAGTGGAAGGCTCTTTGCTTCCAAGCCATTTCTAGAATGCCGTTTTTCTTCAACTGTTAGCTGTGAATCTCGTGTTCACTAGGAAGTTCTTTTCTGACCTCTAGGCGACACACCAACCCTTTTGAATCCGCAATGGCTTAGTGTATGTGTCTTTTTAGCAGCTATCACTAAGTTTCTGTATTAATGGTAATGACCGGGATCGCTTTTTCAAACTTCTGAGCAAAACCAAGGACATCTGGGAAAGTCGTATGCATAAGTTTATTTATTTGTTCTCCCAGGGCAATGAATGGAACATTGACTGATGTAGAAAGCCGTAGGACGAAGATGCTATTGTTTTATTCTTAAATGAAAATGCTTAGCGAGAACGAATTGAAACTTCCGTCCAAAATTTACTTCTCGGCGACCGTTCAGCGATGGAAGCCCAATTTTCGGCGGCTTGAAACTAACGATGGCTTCCAGGGTTTGGATGTATGCTTTCTTAACATCGAAATACACTCGTTTAATTACAACGGAATGCCGTTTTTTAGAAGCGACTAGTTTAAATTTAAAAAGATAATTTGCGAATGTTTTGGGGAAACAGGATGTTTCGCCAAGGGACTATCGTAATGTGAGAATAATTCATTAGAAACAGTTGGATAAAACGTTTGTTTTACAGCGGTACGAATTTCATAAATAATTATGCCGATAAGATTGGCAAGCTTCAAGTTCGAAAGGCTTTGTTGCATAACCACTTTCGCTGAACCG